CCATAGCTTCACGTCCCAGAGATAATTTCTGCCTCTCAGCGTTTAACCAAGATCTCCCAGAAGCACAGTGTTTTGAACTCCAGCTGACAAAGCTGTCTGCTCAGATAAAGAAATGAGGGGAGGGGAAATCATTTCAACACATCTTGCACCATTTGTGTGCTTGTTGACTGAAAAAATAAATGGTAAATGTTGAGGCTGTAAAAAAAAGAAAGATGCGTATCAAGAAAATGTCCCACGCTTTAGATCTGTGTTTGGCTTTAGTTTTAATTTAGGAAAGTTTTTGTGAAAAAAAGAGCACATGTTTTGTAAGATGTGACCTTCCCATATGTTCCAACTAATGACTTTAAGGGTAACTGGAAACTTTTGTGTGAAATACAATTGGGTGCAATTGCTTTTTGTACCACTGGGTGGCGCTGTGTGCAGGAAATAACCCGTGGAAAGAACTGTCTCAACTTTGATGCATGAATACATGGGCCATAGTCAAACTGTGTTACACTGATGTATACATTTTATTACATCCCATCCCGAATTGTGCTTCGAATGCAGAGCTGATGGCTCAGTGAGTTATTTTCCAATCTAGGTTAATCTGAGAGCAACAACAAAAAAAAAGAGGTTTGAATAGTTCTGCCACCACGCCTGTCCTGATTAGACCTGTCATATTAAAACCATGTGCACGGCTGCTCTGCTCAGTCTCAGTCTGTTCTCTGAAAATGTACTGAGTGTCCATCAATAACACTAATGATCTGTGGCCTCCAGGAGAAAAACACACAGTAACAAAGCCACAAATTTAAGCTCTTCTCTGCTTTCGAAGAGGGAATACTAAGGCAACCAGAGCGGAGGTTGTCTGATTAACTGTCAGTCGTTTGCACATTCAGAGGGTCCAGACGGAGATGGTGCCGTCTTTATTTTAAACACGACAAAACCTTGCTGTGGTGATTTGTGGAGTTTCCCCACCCAAACTTTCACATGCTATACACTCCTCCCACTTCTTGCCAGCTGTTAGTAAACAGAAACCTCTTTTACACCCCGTTCTTAAGGATACACACCCTCACCCTTCTTACCTCCTCCTTGCCTCTTTTGCCCAAATGTTTCCCTTGGTGTCTGAGTCAGCACGGGTGCCAAGTCAATCAGTGTAAGAGCTGCCATCTGCAATGGGCTCCCAATCCAGGGGGTGCATGTGATGTATGTTTCACCAAACCGAGTGGGTGCTGTAATTTCCATGCCAAAGAGGGGCTGGAAGGCATGGACGGGTGGCAAAGGAAAAGAAGGAAAGAAGGGATGGGGTGTGGTGAGAAAGAAGAAGAAAAGGAGGAGAGAAAAGATGGTGGCTGAACTGGAGCTGTAATGAGGCCTGATGGATTCTGAGGTTATGCCAGCTGTCCCATTAGCTGAGTGGCTCCATGCCCCATACTCTGCCCACAGAGTGTCCATCAGGGTCCCAGCAGCTTGGGGATACAGCCCCTTTGGGACATAAACACACTATTGATAATGTGTACGCCTCCATCCGCCTCCATCATCCAGAGTCCTGTTAGTCATAGCAAATAACACACTGAGCCTTTTATGCAAGGTTACGAGCTAATGACAGCAATAATGTTTCCCAGTGTGCTGAATAAATGTGAGAAGAATCTTAGATGATGTTCACCAAACACTTGATCAAACCAGTGCACCCACATGACTAATAGCAACGGTTTAGATCTCATACAAGAGGTTCCTGTGAAAGCTAATGACCATATATTTTTTAGTGGTTTGGAGAATTAGGGTTTAATTTTGACTGGATTGATAAGCTTATGGCTAGTCCAGGCAGGGCCAAGAACAAAACCCAGAAGTACAGGTGACCACAAGGTGACTGTACAGGAAGAACAATCCTGTACAAAAGTAGAATTCTGTGAAAAGGTCATGAATACTAACATTTGATATGTTATAGAAAGCCTTTTGAACCACCTCAGTTTGATGAGCTATCAGTTGAGCCCTATTTGCACGGGATTAGTTTTAATGACCACATGCTATTTGTAATAATTACGGAGACTGTCTGTGTTGTTAATCCTGTGCGAATTGGCCATGTCAGTAATTTGTAAAGTAAAAATCCCCTGCAAAATATCTGCTATGTTTTGCTGAACTCTGAGGTCCTGTGATAATATTAATTCAATTCAAATAGGCATCTCTGTGATTTGAACAGAAATGGGCAGAACCAAATACGTAATTAGGCGTTTTTTGTGTTTGTTTTCTAAGCAAAATTATTTGGAAAAATATAGAACATGGCTATTTTAAATTAACGCGCTGCTTGCTTCAGCTTTTGTAGATGCTGCTACTTCCTTCACCGCGGATGACAGCAGGTGCGGAGATGCATGCAGCTGGTGATCAGCTGATTGCTCCATCCATTATATTTACCCGCTTCTTTTTTTTTTCGGGTAGCAGGGGTCACTGGTGCCCATGTCTAGCCATCACTGTGCGAGAGGTGGGGTACACCCTGGACATGTCGCAAGTCCATGTCAATTGGTGGGTCAGCGGATGCGCGCGGCCGGTGACAGGTTGTCCATCTGAGCTTAAAGTGACTTTTTACCTCCTTAACATCATATCCGGAAGACGTCCGTAAATTTCAGCTATATCTCAGACTTTGGTTATCCCGTGCGAATGTGCCACATAAAAAGCTGACGTTGGAGAGTAATTTATTTAGTACATGTGTTCCTTGGTAAAACTAATTCCATGAGAATAGAGATTTAGTCTTGGGTTTTAAATCTGCTCAGAATTAAAATCTATTTCTCAAACCTGAGGATGTTCAAGAGAGGTATCTTCAACAAGCAACATATTAAGTGTTCACAGCCTCCCCATAGAACCCAACCTCTTTAAAACATCTGAACCATACCTGAAAAACTATTGGAATAAAATTATAAATGTGCCTAAAGTTCTAAATTATGACATCAGTGACATGCTGATGTCAGTTTTATAATAGCTGTAAAGAGTTAAAGTAACAGTATTCATGATCAAGAACATTTTTGCCACTTCATTATGACCATGGGTTGCACTGCCACTACTGTCAGTGCAGCTGACCTCATCAATGCTGGATGACCCACACTGACCTCATCAACACTGCCTGACCCTCTGTGATCTCATCAAAGCTGGACGCCCCATGGAGCCCTGATGGCTGACGACAGGCCTTGAGAAAACAACCCATCCATTAAGGTGCCAAAAGCACTGTAAACGTGGACCATCAACGCCAACTATCCTCACTGTCATGCCCAATTTCTCTACTCTTCCCCCACACCGGTTCGAGCTACCCGCTGGACAATGGGGCTGCAAAACCTCCAACCCTCTCCGCCACAATGTCCGCCCACGTTGGCTGGCAGCAGCAACAAAATGGCTGTTGGTGTTGGGGGGGGGGGGGGGGGGGGTCGCCGGATGGGGAGGCCTGCTGCAGGATGGGACTCTTATTGAGTGTTTGAGCGATGAGCCAGGTCATCACATCTACCCACCTCATCCATCATGCCACACAAATGGACACAAATAAAGAGGACACATTCCTGCCTCTGCTCCCACTGCCACATTCAAGCCCTCTCCAGCCTTTTTCTTCTTCTTTGCTTTCTTCTCACTATGTGAGCCAATAAGGCTTCAATGAGGAAAAAGAAGAGCAGAGTTCAGGCTCTCCGTCGCTCTCGGAGGCCATGGGAGCGCCAGAAGAAAATGCCAGGTGGTGTTCCGACTCCCAACTCTTGGTCAAAATTTTAATTTGAGGCAAAAATGATGGGCAGCCAGAAGGACTCTATGAGATGGGGCGGTGAGAGGGTGACGGAGGACAAAAGGGTGAGTTCAGCATTTAAGGGGAAATAAAAGAGAGACCAGAAAACGAGTCAATCCACATTGTAGTCTTTTATTTTTCTTAGTTGTTCCTCCCACAGTATTGAATTGAAATGCATAACAGTTACATTGTAGAAAGCATTAAAACAAAGTACCTCAACTTGCTGATTACTTTTTAAAATCGATTATAAACAAAACAAAGACAAACTGGAAATCTGGTCCCTCAAAAACGGGAAAATAAAGTAAAGTAATCCGTTATTCGTCGTAGGTTTGGCACAAGGGATTAACATGAATCGAACATCACACAAGCTTGCAGACAATTGTAGAAAATGTCAGATACAGATCTTACCAGACCAATCATGCGCTTATGAGCAAATTAAACCTCTCGTTTTATTATTCATTCTTTAAAAAGCTTTTGATTTTTTTTTTCTTTTTACAATTGGATCAGTAAATTGTCATAGAAAAAAATCCTAATATCTATCCATCAACCGGTTTTATTAGTAGAATAAAGAGTGAATTGTATGTTTAATACTATCCGGCACTCAAACGTAATCTACAAACCTCCAATGAACTCTGGGATAGGCCCGGTTAGGATTCTCCCCTTACTTACCAGGCTAAGAGCAGTGCTATTCAGTAACGAACAAACAAACAGTTTGCCAAGAAATAAATACAATTATCAAAAACACAACAGCAAACAACAACAACAAACAAATAGGACAAAAAAAAAACATAACAAATGATTGTCTAAAACTGAAAGACACACGAGCATGGAGAAGCTAACAACTAGCATTCAGGCTATTTTAGTGGTATTGTTGGTTGACTAGGATGAATTCAAGGATTTTCAAAAAAGACATATGCCCTTTACAGAACGACAATTAACTTCAGCACTAGTGACTTATCTCAGTAAATAACAAAAAAAAAAAAGAGAGAAAAAGGTGTGATTTCTTCTCTTCCACTATAAAAGTCCATCTATTTATATCTTTTCACAGATAGCGCAGTTGGAGAAGAGTTGTTGGAAACTTGCGTACAGTGCTATGATTGTACAGACACACGCAGATATGACAAACTGGCCTGATTTCAGTTCGACCATTTTCATCAGTTCCTAAATGCGCCGCTCGTGCCGTCCACACGTGGGAGCAGGTTTTTCAGCTGCAGGTTACTCATTGACTTTTATCATCGAATACACATAAGAAACATCTGTAGATCTCCAAGGTGGGGTGAGAGTGGGGACGTGGGGGCAAACTGGATTCTTGTTCTTGCTCTTATGCTTTACACACAATGACTCATGCTAGGCTGAAACCAGCTGTCCAAGAGATACAACCGAACTCACGGTGGAATGTTCTCCTCACCTTGCACGTGCTGGGCATTTCAATTGTTCTAGCAACGACACATCAGCACATTCGTCTTTCTCCATCAGCTGCCTTTGATGTGCAAAACACAAAACTTCAGAAGAATAAATACAGTTATTATTACTTTTTTAATTTTTATAACCTCAATTTGGTTAATGTGAGAAATTGGTTAGAATTTTTTATTTTGTGTCTGCCGGAGGGTTTTAGGACTGGGGGGTGGCTGGGCTCTGTGTGGGACAGTGACCCTGCTTTTGTGTTTAAGGCAGTCAGAAGGGCTGTGGTTCTGCTGAGCAGTCACTCTGTGGACGATCAGGGGTGCCCTGCTGCTCCCAGTGCCATAGGTAGGTCAGGGGTTGTGAAAGGGTAGACAGGGTACGTCCTCATCATACGTGGCTGAGGGATTGGATGGCGCTGGATTCAGCAGCGGCCCGTGCCAGACTGTGCCACATGGTCGCCGGGGTGTGGGTGGTTGAGTGAAGAGAGTCCTTTTCAGCCAGAGACAGCATCATGGCATACGCCTGAGGGAACAGATAGATTAGAACGGACATGCTTAAATATAGAGATCTACACTGATTAGATAAATCAGGAGTCTATAAAGTGTCAGTGTTTTTCGTACCTGAGACTTGGATTTTCTAAAGAGCGGCTGTTTGACTGCTTCCGTAAGAGGAGAGTCAAACGCTCTGTCATCCTCATCTCCATCTCCATCACTCAGCTCACTCTCCTCCAGCTTGCGCAGGTCAGAAAAACGATGAATGTGATCCAAGGTTGAGTAGCTGCTCTGTTCCTCCTCCTCCTCCTCCTTATACCTGGATTAAAAAAATAAGGAATTTTCAATATATTATGTCAAATTCATTTTCATGGTCATACACAATGTTTGGGATGCCATCATGTGACTTGTACCTCCTCGGAGATGTTTTACAACTCAGGTTTAAGTCATTCGGCTCACTGAAGTCCATTTCATCTCGTATGATGTCATCACTAAGACTGCTTGTGTGCACCTTGGGTTCCCTTTTCTCAGAACCATTGCTAGGTTCCTCCGCTTCTTCATCATCAGCATCTAGATCCTCTGCTTCCTCGTCTTCCAGATCCTGCGATGCGTGGCTGGCCATCAGTGGCTTCCCTTCTTCTAATGAACCGCCATTCATCCTGTAGATCAGGAACACTCGTTACATTGAAATAGCCTAATTATGTAGCTGACATCCAGAGAACCATGAATATAAATGGCATCTCTTTATTTTGGTGTACAAGGAACTACACACGAGCTTGGTGTATTGCGTGAGAAAGGTCCTGGGTTTCTAACGGGTGAGAATCCTTTCTAGTTTTAATAAAAACTGCAAGACATGGGATAAACAAGGCAAGAAGTGGTGGATTCTGGCAACAGAGTCAGAATCCTGTTTGTCATCAAGGGTTTGGAACCCCTTTGGGCACAGCAGCCCTGAGTTGATCATTGCAGCACTTAAATGGAGTGCTGTGCCTCTCCCCATGTTTATTTTCCCTACTATCTCGTATTCATCTAATAGGCAAAATATTTAGCTGACAGGCCCATTTGGTGGGAGAGTTATGAGAGTGCTGCCAACCGGCCTATTCCTCCATCCCCGTGGAGAGAGAGAGAGCCAGCTATCCAAACTGCCGGAGTCCTAATCTGTCCCTCTGTCTCAGCGCCACAGGAAACCACCATTTGTTAAATCATCTGGAACCACATTAAGACTGATTCACTAATTATACTCTGGGACATTTTTCGTCAGCTTGAAAAAATTCAATTTCTTTGCACAAAGGATTCAGGGAAAGGGTCTAAATGGAAACAAAAAAATGGGAGGAGAACAACCCCATTAAGAAAGTCACAGATACCTGAATCAGATTCAAACTGCACACACTTGAGTGTAGAAGTAGTTCAGAAAAAAAAGATACAAGAGGTGATTATTCCAGAAATCATTGCACTGCATGGAGGACATTTCATTGTTTATCTCAGCTGATAATAATGTTCAGTTTTCAGCATACAGCTCCCACTGGAATGAGGAGTTGACAAGCTGGTATTCGTGCTGTGTCAAGCTTGCACGGCTGTGAGGAGAAGCCGGCTCCAAAACAGACAGAGCGAGAGCGAGAACTCTGTGATTAAGTAAACAGATTCGCTAATTACGCTTTCAAACGTGGTAATTTGCTGAGGATAAAGTATCTATCAGAAGCAGTCAGGAGTGCTGCACTTTGAAAGGAAACACAGGCCGACCCTTTGACCCCACCCCCTCTACCCTCTTCCTGTAGGCAAACATGTTGGTTCCAGATGTGCTGGTCTAACTACTGCACACCCCCCACCTCCACTTTGTCTCTCGTCCTTCTAACAATCTACCACCCAGTCCTGCTCTTTCAGGCCTTCAGCGCAATCTAAGGATCACTTTAACGCCTTTAAAAATCTACGCTGTGATTTTTAACTACGTGAGCTACGAGAAGCCAACTTGGAGGCCTAAACTGTTTTTTAACTGCTATCTGATCTGACCACGGCTACAAGAATCCAATTGTATAATGCTCAGACGCTGTTGGATGCACAGATATACCTTTTAAAATGTGTGGCCAAAAGAAAATTGACATAAAGAGCTCCTTAATGTTTCCAAAACCTATGATGGTATCATTGCAAATGACTGGTCTCAAGTTCAGAACATGATGTAATGATTACCAGACACTGGCTGTGTGGTATGGACAGTTAAGTCACAATTGGCTAGATAATAGTTGACCCATGTTGCTTTGTTTCTGATTGTATTTATTCCTTTATTTTAGTGGTTACAAAGATCAGATCAGGACAAAAGGAGACATAAAGCTGATGAAGTTAAATCTTACCCTTCATCGGAGCGATCTGGTGACGTGTGGTTCTGTCCTGCGTTACTGATGAAATTTCTTATTTCATTAAAGTAGGAATCCTCTTTATCATCCAATATGGCACTACTGCTGTCCAGTTCAGACTGCGGGGACGACATCGCAGTTCCTGAAATGGTGGAAAGAAAAAAAAAGTTTTTTATTAAATGTTCATGATACACCAACAAATTACACTATGTGCAAATGTCTGACACTTTTATCCTGTTCATCATTAAATGTATGCATTTACAATTGGGGAGTATTGATGTAGAGGTTAGAGAAGGTGGGCCTGTGATCGGAAGGTCGCCGGTTCAACTTCCCAGACCTACAACATCAAAGTGTGGGTGGAAAAGATGAAACACCCACACCTGCCTCCACCCTCATTTGCCACATTTTTCTGGGCCCTTGAGCAAGGCCCCATAACTCCCACCATCTGCTCTCAAGCAGGTCTCTCTTGAAAATGAGTCCTTGTGACTTAATAGAATAGAATAGAATAGAATAGAATAGAATAGAATAGAATAGAATAGAATAGAATAGAAACAGCCTTTATATTCCCACGGATGGGCAATTCAAGTGTAACAGCAGCAACAGATAAAAAGATAAAAATATTTCACACAAAAGTTCCTAAACATTAATAAACAATACAATATATAAGAAATAAGATAAACAATATCAATAATAATGTTCAATATGTATTGGAATATTGATAAGGACAGACTATTCAATACAGTAGGCAGAGTGTGTGTTTTAGCAGAGGTCAGCATGTATGAAACTGTATGTATTAATGAAACTACCTGTATATATAAAAATTGAATAAAAATAAAACAATTGTTTCAAACTACGCTGTCTTTATCTTCTGAGTTAAAACAGATAAACTTTTTTTATCATCTTTAATATAATTCTTGATCAATACGTTTTCCGTCCATTCATCCATCCATAATCTTTACCTGCTTTTTCCACTTCGGGTTGGGGGGGTCGCTGGTGCCCATGTCCAGCCATCACTGTGCGAGAGGCGGGGGACACCCTGGACAGGTCTCCAGTCCATCACAGGGACACAGAGAGACAAACGAGCCAAACAACCATTCACTCTCTCACTCACACCTAGGGACAATTTAGAGTTACCAATCAGTCTAACATGCATGTTTTTGGTCTGTGGGAGGAAACTGGAGCACCTGGAGAAAACCCATGCATGCACGGAGAGAACATGCAAACTCCACCCAGAAAGGCCCCTGGACCGGATTTTGAACCAGGGTAACATGCTCACTGAGAGGCAGCAGCTCTACCATTTGCGCCACCGTGCTGCCCCAATACATTTTCAAACTTTAAAAAAATAAGCTCAGTTTAGTTTTTCTCTGGGGCAGCACGGTGGCGCAACTGGTAGAGCTGCTGCCTCTCAGTGAGCAGGTCCTTGGTTCAAACCCCGGTCCAGGGACCTTTCTGGGTGGAGTTTGCATGTTCTCTCCGTGCATGCGTGGGTTTTCTCCGGGTGCTCCAGTTTCCTCCCACAGACCAAAAACATGCATGTTAGGCTGATTGGTAACTCTAAATTGTCCCTAGGTGTGAGTGAGAGAGTGAATGGTTGTTTGTCTCATTTGTCTCTATGTGTCCCTGTGATGGACTGGAGACCCGTCCAGGGTGTACCCCGCCCCTCGCACAGTGATTGCTGGGCATGGGCACCGGCGACCCCCGTGACCCAAAATGGAAGAAGCGGGTAAAGATAATGGATGGATGGATAGTTTTTCTCCAGACCTTGTACCTGAACATGACAGCTTTTGGTGCTGTGTTTAAATAAATGAAGAAACTGGACGAGTGGAAGACAAAAGAAGAAGAACTAGATCTACAGCAGATGAATAGTACGTGAAAGTCAAATATTTAAGACCTGAGAATTCATCTACAGCAGGGCTATTCAACAACATTGCTCAGGGGGCCACAGTTAATGAAAGCCAAGAGCTCAGGGGCCAGATATCCAGCAAATACTGCCATGAAGTAAGTTTGTTTTATGGTTTAAAATCTAGTTTTAGTTAAAAATTAACCCATTGGTGTGCTGAACTGAGCTCACCCTTGGGCCTGATTTGGACCACAGGCCACCACTTGAATAATACTGATCTACAGATTTTCATAGTACTTTAGGAGTCACCTTTTAGGTGCTGAATACTATTTTAAGTGTCAAACTGTATTATGCTTGGTATTGTTTTACAAATTTGTCTTAAAAATGGGAAAAAAGTTAGGATTGCTGTGATTTTGCAGCACTAAGCTGCACTGTCTGAAATATCATCTCTAACCAAAATAACGAAAAGTTTAAGAAAGTAGAATTTTATGTAGAGAAAACATTTGCGCCTTATAGTTTTCAAGGTTTTAATGCTAACACAAAAAACTCATTGCTGATAATTGATTTTGCATGTGACAGACTGCACATTGCTTTTGATGAAGTGTCAGCCACCTCTGGTGCCGGTGGCTGCTGGCCAGTCGTCACCACTCGTTCTGCTGATTCAGTCAGAGTGATCTAACCTATCAAACCTTTGAGTTGTGCTGCTGATGAAAGCAACTCATTCCAAAGAAAATATTTTGAGCCGTTGCAGAGGTCCGTGGCAGATTTATATAATTTAATTTCTCAGATTGTCTCAAATCATGAGTAAATTACGTTTTATGATAGTCCGCAGAAGGATTTATGAACCGCACAAGTCAGCAAAGCGCTTCTCATTTTCTGTGATAAAATGAGCAGTTGGATCAGATTTCCATAATCTTCACAGCTCACTCCTCACCTGACAGATTGCCGTTCTCGTGCTTTTTAAGGTGACGGTCGAGGTTGGTCTGCTGGCCGAAGCAGCGGTCGCACAGGTGGCACTTGAAGGGCTTCTCCTTGTTGTGAATGTTGCGAATGTGACGCTGCAGGTTGGAGGAGATGCTGAAGGAGCGGTCACAGTATTTACACCTGCAGAGACAATAAGAGTTGTTCACCTCAAGTATGAAAAAAACGCGCGGAAATAAACAACCGCACCGCGCAATGAATTTGAACCTGCAGCTTTTGTTTCTGTGGGAAACCTAATGCAGGGTGCACACTCATCCAGACAGTCCCAGCAGTCCTGCAGTCTCAGACATGATGGAGGAGCTTGTTTAAGGTGAAACAGCTCTGCCTCTTATCTCCAGCCAGCACAATAAAATTGCATTCTTCTCTTACAAAAAAAGCACGCAACAGATTTGGTTCAAGCCCTGCAAAAATTAGGAGCTCCTGCCAAGTTTCTTCATGCAAAATTATACGAGAAGATTGCATCTTTTCTTCTGGTGGAATTAGCTCGCTCGATTGGCTGTCCCTCAGGAACCCTCCCGGTTATCTCCACAAAGAAAAAAAAATTACAATAAACAGCGGTGATCTTTAATAGTCTGCCAGCGTGTCGAGTGTAGGCTATCAGGCTGGGGCAGGGGGGGGGGGGGGGGTTGCATCTGTCTTTTTGTTTCTCCCCTGTGCTCAACAGGCCTCCTCCAAACTTTGGGCCAACATTCCTCCATCTTAGTAACTTCAAAGTCAAGTAGCTATAATAATCAGGGTTTGTTCATTATCCAAAAGTGATGAATCTGCTAAAATCTTTTCCACACACAGAGAAATTAGGTGCAGCGTCGCTGTTGCTTTAGCCTCAGAAAGCCCTATTTTTTATTTATTTATTACTAGAAACGAACATGACACCATTGATAATATTTGTGTTATCATCAATAATTTTGTAAAAAATAAAATAAATTAACCTGAGAAAAAGAGTCTGTCCAAAAAAAAAAAAAAACAAGAGCTGAAGATAAGTGAGCTTGGTTTCATTACGAGAAACGACGTGGACACAGCTGCAGGTCCAGACATCTGCATTGGCTCCTCTGTCTTTTTTTTTTTTTTAATCAAACTTCCTCCCTTTCATTCATCCTACAGACCTCCTGTCACCCAGACAAAGGTCATCATTTGTCAACAGGTCAATTATTTAGCAGCAGGATAATCATTCCAAGTTTATAGAAAAACACCGTGCTCCACAAAACATCCTGACAAATGAGCGGTTGTTGTTTCCATTTGTTGTATGAAGTGTGTTTGCTGCTTTCACTTTCCTTTCTGTTGGGAGTAAAGTACCGTATTTTCCGGCTTATAAGTCACATCTGTCAAAAAAAAACGCATCATGAAGAGGAAAAAGCATATATAAGTCACTTTGGCGTATAAGTTGCATTTATTATGCATCACTGCTGACCCCAGGGAAACGTGGGCTGGTGTCGTGCCAAAAATCAATTGGTTGCCAAAAATTCATCAGCGGCCACAGGAGCATGCACGGGAGGACTCACTGTTGCAATTCTTTGAAATTTAACAAGATTAACACTTAAAACAGTAATTTGTTTGCTTGACATTATAGCAAAGGTGTTTCTCAATTTAACTTTTTCCTTAACAAAACCATTTTAATGGTCAATGTTTGGCGGCGGGGGGGGGGGGGGGGGTAGCGGTACAGGAACAACATATACGCCTACCGGTAGTTGTCAAAAGTCTAGAGGGCCCTCTTGTGCCTCCAGAGGCTGCAAATGGTAATGTTTACTCTGGTTCATGTCAGTATGAATCAGCATTTAAAACGTCAGTCAAAAATTACATTATGAATATGGGAAAAAAAACATATATAAGTCGCTTTGGCATATAAGTTGCAGGACTGGCAAATCTATTAAATAAACCTGCGACTTATACGCCAGAAAATACGGTAGTGCTTGGATCAGTTCTTGTATGCTGTATGCAGACACAAATACTGAGTGGAGAGTGATGCATTAAAAGTTTTGTAAAGTGTGAAACAAACTGATAAGTGTAAATGGAGGGATGCTGGTGGAAAATGGTTATCCTCATATTCAACATGCTTCTGTTGCTTGAACAACTGCACAACACTTAACACCCAGAACATAAGATACACTCACACACAACACTCAGAGAAAGTCTGAACCTGCATGCATAGAATTACCTGTATGGTTGCTCTCCTGTATGAGTCCTGAGGTGGCGAGTCAGGTTGGCAGAGCGGGGGAATATTTTTCCACAGTATCTGTAAAGGAGCAATAAATAAATAAATCAACTAAAGTTATTTATCAGTTTCAAAAAGCTTAAGAACAGCACTTCCTTCTTTTCCACGAGATGAAGACTGATAAAACAGAAACACCCGGACAAACATTAGAAAGTTATAGCAGCACATCCTCAAGGCAGTTCTTCCAGTCACCTGCATGTGTAGCGCTCCTTGCCCTTGCGCAGCAGCGTCTCTGGAAGCGCAGACGGTGGGGCTCTGAAGTCAAACATGGACGGGACGGAGCGCAGCAGTTCACTGGATTCTGGCTTCAAGGAGCCAAACGTCTCCAGCTTCTCCGCCATGTTCTCAATGGCCGTCATCTGTGAAGATAAGGAAGGCAGGTTAATCCTTTGAGTCTTGAAAACCTCATTATTCAGCAACAATGTTCATGCGCAATCATCCAGGTACCAAATCAGCATAATCACTTGAGAAACAGCTTGGAAATTGGGCTATGTTTTAATAATAATAAAATTCTATATGTTATTCTTTCGGGCAGCACGGTGGCGCAACTGGTAGAGCTGCTGCCTCTCAGCGAGCAGGTCCCTGGTTCAAACCCCGGTCCAGGGGCCTTTCTGGGTGGAGTTTGCATGTTCTCTCCGTGCATGCGTGGGTTTTCTCCGGGTACTCCGGTTTCCTCCCACAGTCCAAAAAAACATGCATGTTAGGCTGATTGGTAACTCTAAATTGTCCCTAGGTGTGAGTGAGAGAGTGAATGGTTGTTTGTCTCGTTTGTCTCTATGTGGCCCTGCGATGGACTTGCGACCTGTCCAGGGTGTACCCCGCCCCTCGCACAGTGATTGCTGGACATGGGCACCAGCGACCCCCGTGACCCAAAATGGAACAAACGGGTAAAGATAATGGATGGATGGATGGATGTTATTCTTTCTTTGTTGGATAAAAAATTCTAACAAAAATGATGAAATACCCAACCACACCAGTAGGTGGCAATATTGTTGATATTAATTCTGATTTCCATTCATGTTGTTAGTCAGAACTTGGATGTTGATATGTAACACCCAACAAATTCATGCTCTGGTTGCAAGTTAAAAAAAAACAACAAAAAAACAGTAAACACTGGGTCAGACTTTCTATATCTTCAATGACTGAATTTTGACTTCAGGCGGCCACTCCAGTTAATTATTTTTGCTTGGAACACAGAGTTCTTGACTTCTTAGTATAAATGGAAAAGGATAAGGACACCAACAGTCAAGGGATAACTTGCTAAGCTTAGCTACATACTCTTCTAAAAGCTATTGTCACATAATTTGCTTATTTATTTAATTAATTTATTTATTTGTTTGAGTTTTTACCACGTTTATTCAGTCAATAGTCTTTGCAGCACACTGTTGACGTTTGAGTGGGACAGACAAAAGGCAAAGGAAGCCAATCTTGAAAAACAAAACAACAAAAATAAAATAATATTTAAAAAAGAGTAAAAACGGGGCTGGTCTTGTGATGTGTAGCATACAAACTGTGACTAATCTGTGCTGCTGATTATCCATGCTGCTGATCTCATGCTGCTGTATTCATACCCATCTGCTCACACAGACTCATGTTCAGGCTGCTGTTTAATACACTGTATTGTTTTACATTAATAGTGTTTAGCGTATATCTTAGCATATATCTTAGATTCTTGTAAACTGTTTTTTTTACATACTTTATATTTTTACTACTTTTGGCTGTAACTGGGACCTTGAGTACACAATTTTGTTCCACCTCATGTGCTACATGTGATGTGAATGACAATAAAAAAAAACTTGAACTTGAATTCGAACAAAGAAATAATGTGAATGTGAAATAGGCTGGCATGTGTGTGATGTTTCTTTTTTTCTTTTTCATAAAATTTTTGTCAGCTACACACAACTACACTACTTTTTTTTGTAAATCTCCACTTTAAAGCATATCTGTTTATCTCACCACAAATGTCATTTTTATGTGCAGTGGAAGAAAATTGCTTTTTAAAATGTCTGCATTTATGTGAATAGGGTCACTCTGAACAGCAACATTTTTCTGAATCTTTCATATTAGCTACGTTTTCATGATATAAAACAAACAATTGTGTATGGCTTTGTTAGTGACATGTTTAAAATTTGACCACTAAAATGACCCCTTTGATAGATTTGATCATATCACGGTTGACTCATGTGTCCAGTTTACAGGAATTTTACAAGTAGAAGAAGTGAAACGAGCATTTGGTGAATTCTTACTGTGACATTCATCAATGATTCATGCATCACAAGGTGAAATTTTAAATAAGAGGGATATAAAATATATCTGACACTGATTCATGACTTTGTTATAACGCAGAAAAAAAAGTCATAATCACGGTCAGTGACAAACAGGTGAGCAGCAGGGAATGGTAAAATCAAACAAATCTTGCTTTCTGGATTTCTAACAAAGAATTGTACAGCATGTATGCAAAACACACACACACACACACACACACACACATTAAAGACTGCAGCCAATCTACTAATGAAACTGAACGTTCACTTTCATCAGAACTCTCAAAGGAAATGCACGTGTTTGTGCATGCATGCACATAAACACGCAACTATGAGCAGGGTGGTGGTCTTAGTTGATTTTTATATGCATGTTTGTCAAGAGTGTGTGCGCTCACAGATACATGTGTTGTGTGTGAGGTTCAATGTACGAGCTCACTGTGCTTCTGTGTGCTGTCAGATACATGTCCGTGTGTGTGCGTGTGTTTGCACGTGTGTGTGTGTGGCAGAGGAGTGATTCATGTCCACTGCTGGGCTGTAAACCATTCTGTGCACAATGCAGGCAGACAGCACATTCGTCAATATGAAAGATGTTGACATTACTGATCAAGGGCCAGACACGGGTAATAATGATATCGCTGTGCTGAGAGGGGCGGGATGGGGGAGGAGCGGGGGCTGGAGGGGGAGTGAAACTAGAGGGAGAAGGAGCGGGAGGGACAGTGGTGGTGGTGGTGGTGGGGGGTGGGGTCTCAGAAGGCCGCAGGGCCTGTCAGCCTTTTTCACACATGTGCACACACACACATGCAGACACGCATATTTTCCCTAAAAGGAGGGCCACACAAATTTGCATTATTTTACGTGTGTTGAATTTTCAGCCTGTTTCTTCCTTTTATTTCAATAAGGCAACAAATCAGTGTTGATTCAGGTCCTCCACCAGAACCCTGCTCCGACTCTGACATTCCATCTCCTGCTTTCACCCCCCCTTCACTCCCAGGATTCATGCCAAAAAGGATAAGATGGGGAGAAAAGAAACGGAGGAGGAGAATTGTAAAAGAAGAATATGATGACGGGCTTGATGATGGGGGGGCGTAAAAGAGGGAAGGAAGAAAAAAGGAGAAATTAAGGGAGAGATGAGGACAGATGGAGAGAAAAGATCATACAAGCAAGACAGAGAGAAGGAGAAGAGAAGAGGAACTGATGGCTGATGGATGGTGGTGGAGTTCAGTTTTAGGAGCGGATGATTAGGAGTGACGGCCGAGTGTAAAGTTCCTGCCGCAGCCGTCGACAATCCCACTGAGGGAGGATGTGGAGTGTCAGGTCTGTTTGATTATGAATATGCTGGTGCTACACACCATGAATCAAAGAGCAACAACGAGAGAGCAGGAGAAAGCTAAGGGTTGAGGAAAACAAGGAGAGAAGTGAACTGAAGAATAGATGAGAGGATGTCAGGAAGAGGGAGAAATGTTTTCATATCGTTTTTTAAATGCACCGTGTGTATATCACGTGGGCTCTTTTCTTACACTAGAGAAAGTGTTCTGTTAGTCTGCCTCACTCGATAAGAATCCATAAATCTTGGGAACATTAGGGCCCCTAAAACTGTCTGCAGTATCAAGCGTGTTCGACATTTTTAAGAGCTGAATGCTACTCCACCTTGGCTCCATCTACTGGGGAATTCTGGTCCAAGCTCAGTGCACACATGTTGTTATAAGGGGCTACATCTGTTTGAGTGAAGCTTTGGTGTATGAGGTGGAATGAAAACCTAATTTTTCAAACTTTTCACTAAAACAGTTGATGCATATCAACTTTGAAATGATGACTTTGTTTAAACCACTGTTCATAGTGATAGAATTAACATACTCTACTCCTAAATCATCCTAAAGCAGCTGAAAGAGACATCACAGCTTCTCTTGACTAGTCAAACGGTTTGTTTGTAGTTGCACAGTGAATGATTAACATATCCCCTCCAAGAGATTAGTGTATTATCCCTGAGTCTGCCAAAAGATTACACTGAACTTTATATGGATTTGGAGCCAAATTCACTTGTCCACTGTTTGACCACCTACTCCCCAGGATTGACCTTGACCCAGCAATTAACATGCACATTCAAGCACGCATACCACCCGAAAAACCCCTGTCTTTCCCTGCAGGCAGAGTGCACGCATCTGTGAACTTGCATGTTGCTGTAGTGTCTCCCTGGGACCAGCAGTTGATTGGCTATCTTCAGATGTCAGTGATGCTGTTAGGGCCTTAATTAGCGAAATGCATTCTCAATTGTTGATCTTTATCGGAAACCAGATGTTCGGAGGGAGGGCCTAACCTCCCATTCCCCTTGACAGAATCCCAAAGAGACCGTTACCCTTTTCTCAGTGCACCCTCTACTCCCACCACCACAAACATTAACAAACACAACACCTTACGTTTACCCTCCTCCATCATTTGAGAACGTAATTTTTCCAAATAAGCAAATACATATAAGAGGATGTTGGATAGAGAGGGTGGAGCTCAACTGGAAATTCCCGCCTAAAGACCCTTTCATCTTAATCAGAGCCTTGATGTGAGGATGTAAACAAATAAAGAGACAGACCTTGATGCTTGCAATATGACATCATGTGAAGCACAAAGTCAATACAAATAGAGAATTTTCCTATACTGACATGTGAGAAAATGATCCCAGCCTATGATGGCAGGATAGTATGAAGGTATCTATGATGGATCTGATTGGTTAGAGGTTAAGAACTGCAGGTTAAAGAGGAACTTACCCAAGTTCTCTGATCTGGCAAACGGAACTGAGGAGCGGAAGAGAGGGAAAAGAGAAAGCAGTCAGAGGCAAGACGTGGTGCATGAATCAACAGCTTATGACTGGAAACATGTTGGTACAGAGAGTGGAGAATGAAGGGTCTGGGTATTATCAGCTTTGAACTAGATATCTCTCAAATTTTGGCACTGGAATTATAGGGAACTCTAACTGTTTCCAACACTTCCTTGAATTTAATAAGCTCATTATAGGAAACCACAAATACAATTCCAGTATGTGATCCAACCCAGTATTGCATTAAGAATGCTGCCAGGAAATAACAGAATGAATCACTAATGTTTTTTTTTAAAAGAAGAAGTTTCCAACACTTTAACGGTGCAACAGCTTAAAAAGATGTTACTCATAATTGACTCAGGTGACTGAAAACAACCTCCTTCAAAAGTATACAGAAGGGCCTCTTGCCTGGTCTGGCTTGGACCTATGTGTCTGGCATTTGCGTGAATGATTTGTGTGTCCAGACATCATAAAATCGTAAAGATGGCCTAAGCACTCTGTTAGTGTTTCTACTGATAAGACACCTCATTAGGGAGTGTGGGACAACCATGTGGCTGCTGTAGGCTAGGCCCACAGAGAAGTCTGGACAAGGGACATAAATCAGGCAAATGAAACAGCCTGTAAAAACCAGACCTGAAACGGCCTGAAAAGAGAGGGGGAAAAGCATATGCCTGAGAAAGTGGTGTTTTCACTTTCCGACAGACCGTTCTCACCCGCGGGGGAAAATTGAACAAATGAACGTTTAAGCAATGTGACACACACGCACACACACACACACAAGCTTGCACTTTAGAAATCTATGGAACTTTACAGTGGAAATAATCACACAAAACCCAGGCGCAGAAATGCTTTAAGAGCATACAATTTTTTTATATTGTAATCAAAGACCAAATATAGGAAGACACATCACCATGTGCCTTTTCTTCATGCCACATCTGTTTTAGATACACAACAATGGGCTTAACAGTCAGTAGCTTGTATAAAATTCTGGTTGCATACATTTTTTTATTAATCTGGTTTGCCAGCATTGGACACCCATTGTGAAAATTCACTGACTGGTCCAGTGTCACACTATTGTCGTGGAATGCCTGTATACTTAAGAATCTATAAGGGAACAATGATGGCGCAATAGTTAGTTATCATAAACTCAAATAGACAAGTCCACTGTATTTGAACCTAAATACTTGAACTTCACAACAAATTAGAGGAATAAAGACAAATAAAAACATGGGTGTTGTACTAAATATTAAGCTTTAAACTGTCTGGGTTGGTTATAACCTACCTGTGGATGAAAGAGGAAGCCTGGAGTCGGCCGCATGTATTTGTCTTTCAGCGACTCAAACGGATCGCTCATTCTCCTCTTCTCAACCCTGCTAATAGTAGATTTCTATTAGCTCTTAATGAATGCACAGCAGCAAAAGTAAAACAAATAAAATCATAAAATATGAAATTATTTTGAGTATTTTGTAATGTTTCCACATGGGTAAAATTTTGGTAGAAATTATATGAGTAAGTGTTATACTAGGAATAACAATACCTGTATATGGGGTCCATGAAAAAAGGTGTGGGCCGGGCATGCTGTAAAGAGGAATCTGTTTTTGGAATGTCCAACACTCTCTTCTCCTCTTCATAGCTTGTATGCTTTTTGACCTCCTCCTGATTTGAGATACGTCCACGGCCCCTAGATCCAAGGCTCAGATCTAGTGGCTGATCTTGACCAGTAGGTTGTGAGACTTCTGGTTTAGAGGAAGCAAAAAGAGCTAACTTTTCCTCCTTTCTTTTGGTAGTGAGGTCAAAAGGCGATCCAGATGAAGTCTTGCTTTGAGTCTTTTTCCTATCATCTCCTGGTGATTGTGGCTCACCTTTGAGGCTGGTAAGTCTAAGATCCCTGTCTGGGAAGGGGTAAACTGGTGGAGTGAAAGCTGGGAAAAAAGGCAGTGAGAACATTTGAGGGTAGGGCAGAGAACCAACCTTCTTGTCTTGCAAGCTAGCTAGTCCAGTTGAGCCAAAATATTTCTCAGCAATAGAGGCAATGGCCTTTATAGAGTCATTCACAGCCCCTGTTACAGCTGTATGCTCATCTAGTGAAGACGGAATAAGAGAAGGGCCTGGGAAATCTTTAGCAGCACTATTACCCATGAAACTGAGACTTTGGGAGGTTCCTTCATGGCCCTTTCTCTTAGGACCTTTGCCATTTTCTCGAACAGCTCCTCTTTCCCTTTCACTCTCCATGTCACTTTCAAGGTCAGACCCTGTTGTACTCTCCAAATCACTTCCGCTTGGCGTGCTGACATCATCCAGGTCGCTGCTTTCAGACTGGTCGCTCTGCTTGTTCCGCTGCTTTGTGGTTGAAGATGAACACTGGTTGTGGATCTCTGAGTCTGGTATCTGGTTTCCGGGTGAACCAACATCTTTACGGAGAGCTTTCAGTAGCTCTTGAGACTCCATTGCACAAGGGCTTGAAGGAAGCAAGGGACTTTTACAGAGCTCTGAACCAGGCCCTGCAACAGGTGTATGAGCTGGCTGTCTGACAGGAGAGGTGGTAGCAGGAATGAGCGGTGGTCGGTGATAGAGTCCAGAAGGAAACAGGCCAGGAAAGCTGAAAGGAAATGCTGGGGCTGCAGGGAAGGTAAGCCCACTGTGGTGGCGGCTAGCCCCAAAGTAATCAGCCAGTCCAGCACTGGTGTGACCAATGGTGAGGGCTGATTTGTCCAAGCCAGGGGTGCCAGGGAGTGGCATACCCTGGGCAAACAGTCCCCCTGCTGTGAAATGATTTTTTCCTTCACAGAAGCGCCGATGCTTGTTGAGGGATGAGGTGGTACTAAACATTTGCCCACAGTCCTTGCACTTGATCTGTGTGCGGCAGTCGGCGTGCATGCGTTTGTGCCGGCAAAGGTTAGAGAACTGGGTGTAGGACTTGTGACATACCTCACCTACAGGAACATGGAGACATATGCACACTTTATCAGTTACCACAGCACACTAACACACTTAAAACACATAAAAAAATCACATGATGTCATATCTCTGTGTACCAAACTTCAGGATGACTAAGCCTAAAAACAGAGGAAACAACAATCAAAGTGATAGTGCTCATGTTCCCATCAATACTCTGTCACAAGTTTATAGCAAACAGAAGTGAAGAGGTGTGTCTAAATCCTGGCATTGTAAAGGAATCAGTTTGGTTGATGATGTGAATCTCTTGCTGCTACTCATCACCTGCACATCAAACATGATTCCCAGGATTCTTCAGCCCCATTGTCCTTCCAAGGACACTCCCAACAAATCCACAAACAATCAACAAGCAGACAAACATGTGGACGTAAAGGCACATTTGCAAAATTTCCACATAACACAACGAAAATGAATCACACAAACACAGAGGCAAAAAAGCATGCCGACAGACAGATACACACATATCTCCCCCCCCCCCCCCCCCACACACACATTCTCAGCCACATGCAGTACAATGGCTCTATTTTAGGTTTTTGTAGGAAGTGGAGTTGAATGAATCCTATCCTGCAGTCCAGTTCCCAGGGACAGGTCTCACGTCCTCTGCTGCTTCTCTTTCCTCACCCCCCTCCGAACCTCTCAACCTGACCCTACAGCCCCCTCACCTTGTCCCTTTAGCTGGGGCCATGTCGTCCTGCGCAAAGTGACCTTCCCACAGCCAATCCTTGTGGGCCGGTTTGTCACTCTGTCTGGCCCCAATGTTCAACAACATACAAACCCTAAACAAAACCTCTGCCTGACATTATCTATCATTGCAATAATCGGTCAACTTTGTCCAATACCAGTAGAAGGCTTTGAAAGGGCAATAGCAAGCAAGTTAACATGGAATATTTTTACTTTGTTTTGTTGTTCTTTTAAAGGTCACAAATGTTATATAAGGGGAAGAATACCCTTTCATTGCCAACTCCCACAGCTCAGAACTTTCTGATTGGCTGAACTGGCTGAAGTCCAATTAAAGTATCAAAATGACTTTGATCATTCATTTCAGCTGAGATGGTGGAGGCATATCTAGATGATTTATTTTGCGCACAACGTTATTAGATGTTCAAAACAAGAATCAGGAAGTGGTGAGGCTCAACTCTGATTGCACTTCAGCATACCTTGGATATCTTCCAGACACAAGATGCACAGGAGGCAATTCAAGACGATTGAGAGGAAGAATAGAGAAAAATATTTGGGAAGCAGATTTAAACAAACAGCCCAGAGACACTGCAAACGATCACTTGTTGAGCCAAGTGTGAAAGTCACCCCACAAAGAATGAGCCTTAATGAGCAAACCAAAGTGGGAATGTGTATGTAGAAATTAATTTCAGCAAAAATAATCAAAAGCAGATGTTTTTTTAATTTTTTTATGTATATCAGAATACATAGCCGCTTTCCCTTTTTGTGTTTTATTCTTTACTAGTATAGCCACAGGGTTATAAGAAAAAAACATTTTGACCATAAATCATAAAATTGTAACATTTATGGACCACCAACACACATGCATAACACTTTAAAGTAAAATCTGAAGCACAGCTGTAATAAACTTAAAAAATACGTATGAGCACGAGACACGAGACATAAACATGAGAGAAGACTGCCAAATAGATAACTGTGAAGCAGAGAAGCGTTAAGACACATGCATCCCAGACACATTGCGTGCAATAACATACACGCAGAATTTCGTGCATACAGTGCACTTTCGAAAAATATATAAATGTCCTTCAAGAGCAGTCAGTCAAACAAACACTTCACACACACTCAAACACATAATCTTGTCCAGACAGCTGTCATGTCTGTGGCTGCCTTCTTTTTTTTTTTTCATCACAGCCATTAGTTGCTTTTAAACCTGCATTTTCTTCTGCTGATTACAGCAAATGAACTATTCACAGGGCCGTACATGTGGTTGCTATTTGCGAGGAATGGCGAACGTGGTGAGGCAGAGAAAGGAGTGAATAGAATAATGAGGTCTTCGATGGAGATGCAGTCATTCCCGCCTTCATAATATGCATATATGTGAGTCCGTTTGAGAGCAGGAAGGACGGTTTGCGTTAAGCATTCAGTCGGTCTGTATGAGGTAGCATGTGTGTAAAAGTTTGGAAAAAAGGGAAAGGGAGAAAGGGCAAAGGGTAAAGATCATAACGCTTCAGGGAAAGGAGATCTGATCTCTTGTGGTGGTGCTGAAAAGTGTGAAAGGTCAAAACGTGTTTAGGTCTTGCTAGAGCTTACTGACAAAAGGGGACATGAGTATGTGATTAAGTGAGAACGCAACTTAGGTTGTGAGCTGAAGCATCTCCAGCCCGTTGGCGTGGCTTACTGTGTGACAAGTGACATGCTGAGATAATCACAGAAACAGTGTGCGAGGGTGCTGATGCCGAGAAAACTGCAGGAAATACTACACTACACAGAAAAGTGACAGAAAATGTCAATGTAAATCCTGTAGAACATTAGAAAACAGCTGATCAAAGACAAATTCTAGTTTTGCAACATCATCAGTGTTTCTAATAAAGTCAAGTCAAAGCATGTTATTGTTATAATGTACTGAGGAGACTTACATAGGTAGGGTCTTAGTGACTTACACATGAAGGGCTTGACACTGCTGTGGATGTGCTTATGCTGCTTGAGGCCCGAAGACGTTGCAAATGTCTTGCCACAATCGGAGCAGGCATGGGCACGAGCCCCGACGTGCTGCGAGCGAATGTGCCTCTGAAGGTTACTGGGGTCTGTGAACACCTGCTGGGGGAAGGAACCACAAACACACGCGGCAGAGTTATTATCTGAGCTGAAAAATCCGCGCTCATATTAAACATGTGGGCAAATATAAATGGCTGCTTTACAGAGCAGTCCTTTCAAAAGCCTTTACCTTTGAGCAGTTTTCACATTCGTAGTGCTTGCCACTGTCGTGCGACATCTGATGTCGGATCAAGTTTGATTTCCAGTTGAAGGCCTTGGGACACTGGTCACACTTGTATTCCCTCTCCTCAGAGTGTGACAGAATATGAGCCTCCAGACTAACAGAAGCACAGAGGAGAAACCAAAAATCATTTTCTCTCTCTTCAAGCAGAAATAAAAAATATGAATAAAAATCTTTTAGAATCACATATGAATGTACCTCTGGATATCAGGAAAGACCTGGTCACACTCCTTGCACTCATGCAGGCCATGAGACATATGAAGGGGCCGCAAATCTTGAGGTTCTTGAGCTTTTAGCTCGCTGTCTCCTCCTATGGACATGGGAGCAAACATAGGCCTTTACTGTACATCCAGAAGACTACTGCACTTTGGGGAGAAAATAGTTTCACGGACATCTTGACAAATAAATGATTAAGGCACATGCCACATAGCTATTAAATACCTGTTTAAAATTCCATCAGAGATTTTTGTGAAAAGTCATACTTTTTAATTTTTTTTACCCATTTCTTGTCTAGATCTATCCCTCATTCATTTATTAAACAAACATAAAAATGTCCACATGTTAAAGTACTGCTGCAGTGTTAGAAAACTGTTCAAGTTCTTACAAATAAGATCATCAGTTCTTACTGTAGACTTGTAGCTCTGCAGGCACCAGATGCATAAATTAACTAGGAAGCTGCTAATCCAGTTAATTAACTAGTTAACATGAGCTTGTTACACTCAACATTACTTGATAAAGAGCAGAACAGCAAAGAAAAGCTCATGTTCTGTGTAAGTCATGTTGTTCAAGTACAGCGAATAAATAAATATTGTACACGGTCAATAATGTTGTGTAGTTTTTTGTTAAAATGTTAAAATAATATTTTACTAAACATATTTCTGACTCTGGTATTTGAGTGGTTAACAAACTCTAAACTGTAAGTAAACCTAAATAAATTACATTAATTAAATGAAATATTTATGCATAATCGAACAAAGTTCAGTCGAGTCATCTCGACAGTTTTTTTTTTTTGTTGTTGAGACGTTTCATCCTTCATCCAAAGGAATTCATCAGGCCGAGGAACCTCAAACAAACTGAGTCCCACAAGCAGAACACTCCCATAGTGGACCAACCAGTTTTCTGGTGATAAGATGGTTTCCGGAGCCCACCCTCTCCCCTGTCGACTCCTCTGAGGCAGCCATAGACAAAGAGGTTCAAAACATCAAAGTTCATGCTCAACAATCAAGGTTAAAAATCCAACACAATTCAGTCAGGTCATCTGGACGGTTTCTTTTTTGTTTTTTGTTGTTGAGAAGATTCGTCCTTAATCGAACTTCTGAAGTTTTTAACCATTTTTTGTGGCTCCTCGGATTGATGAAGTCCTTTGGATGTAGGACGAAATGTCTAAAAAAAAAAAAAAGAAACCATCCAGATGACCTGATAGAAATTTGTTGGATTTTTTTTACCTGGATTATTGAGCATGAACTTTGTATAATAATATTTTGTAGCCATATATTTTTTTGTAATATAAAATTACATAGCAACAGTAATATAAGTAATTTTATTTTCAAATGTTTGTTTTATCAATATATTATTGTGAAAGTGGGCCATGCTTCGGCAGCTATAATTGTCTTGTCTAATTTGCCTTTCTGTTCAGTGTCCTGAGATGACTTCTGTTGTGACTTGGTGCTATATAAATAAACTGAATTGAATTGAATTGATCATAAACATAGATGTACTGTAAAACTGGTAAGTATTTTCAATTTTTCAGTTGAAAAGCAATAAACCAGTCTGTTATCTGTAATAGTCTGTTTATGGACTCATCCTTCCACAGTTTATTACTTGATAATTTCTGCTTCAATAGCTTAAACAGGTTTACTCCTTCATTCAGCTCGTCCATCTGGTTAACCTGCACTGCTCAGTGTTTACTTTAGCATTAGCTTGGCACATTTATTTAGAAACCTAAATCAAACCTGGATTAAGAAACGAAGAGGGCGGCATCCCACACGGCTGCTTCTGGTGGTCCAGCAGCTGGCTGCGGGTCTCAAAGTTCTGGTCACAGTCCTCACAGCGATACTGCCTCTCCTCTGTAGAATCAAACAGAAAAGAAAATGAGCATTTCGTGTGTTTAACTGAAGCGTGCATGCAGACATGTCTCCTAAATGACAAAGTGTGTGTTTGGTACAGACCATGGATATCAGGAGCCATTGTGTCACATGAATACTCCTCAGCCTTCATGAAAAGTAACAGCTCCTCACCGGGAAAAATCTCTCTGGCGACTTTGTAGAAGATCTGTAACACACACAGTTATTTATTTATCATTTGAAGCGTGTATCTTATTTACAAAAATTGCAAGCATGCATCGCATCATGTTCTCTATGACCTATGAATTTTTTATTTATTTATTTTTGCTATGACTTTTCTAAGGCAGTATAAGCCAAATAGGGTGAATTTTGGAATACAAAGGCCCCAATATACACAAAACACAGAAATTGCCTAATTTACTAACAAGATTGTGGTATCACAGCCAGTGCAGAAAGTCAACACAAGGAGACAAGGAGTCATGTACCGTCATTAAATTGTACTAATGGTCTGATGTGTGGGCTGCAGAGCCAGCGCTCCTTGGTTGTTTTTATTTTTTAGAACTTTTTATCAACAACATTTAAACACAAAACACCGTTGCCACTGCTCCTAAGCCGCCCTGCCTCTACCCAGGGCTGCCGGCAGCGTTCGTTTATTTATTTTCCCACAAGTCAGATCCACAATACCTGTCAATCAATCTAGTAGGCGTGTCAGCAAATGACCAATCCGCGACCTCAATTTGTCCTGAAGGTAAAAGCCCCTTACCAGAAGAGATGGACTGCAGCCGATTAGGGTGTATGCTCGAGTATGAAGTCTCAACCATCTGCGGACAGTACGTGCGAGTCCGCGCGGCTCACCGAGTACACACAGTACGTCCGAGTATGAGGGGGCCTTAAGGATACGATACTTCTTCCAGCTATCTCGTAACAACGATGTACCACAAGTTTCAGTCTTTGGACCCACCCTCTTCACAATCTAAATAAGTAATGTAGGTCAGTTCATTCCTGATGCATCCTTACATTTCTATGCTGATGATACAGTTGTTTATTGTCAAGCTAGAACAGTTGCTAAGGTTTTCCAGCTTTTGCAATCTGCATTTGACATCATCCAGTCTGATTTGTTTGTTCTCAAACTTGTGTTAAATGCTGATAAAACTAAAGGGATGTTGTTTTCAAACAGGAAGTCGGTCCCAGCAGTCCTTCATTCTATATTATCTTCAAATGGTGCTCCTACTGAGTTTGTTGATTCCTATAAAAATTTGGGTATCTTGGTTGACTTGCATGTCCCTTTTAAGCTCCATGTTGAAAACTTTGGAAGGAAACTGAAAGTTAAACTGGGTTTCTTTTTCAGAAATAGATCCTGTCTAACTCTGAATGCTACGCCTTGTAACTGCAACTTTCCTTCCCTCCACTGACTACGGTGACATTATTTACATGAACGCTCCTACAAGCACATTGCAGATGTTAGATGCTGTCTATCATGGTGCGCTAAGATTCATAACTGGCTGTAACTACCGTACCCACCACTGCACCCAGTATTCACTGGTTTTCTGGACATCATTAACTTCACGCAGACTCTCTCACTGGTACATTTTCATCTTTAAATCACTCCTTGGTCTATTGCCTTCATACATCTCCTCCTACATGTCTCTTTGTGAGTGCAGCTACAGCGTGCACTCCCAAGACATCATTACCTGCAGTGTTCCCTCAGTGTGGACCAAATTTGACAAAAGGACCTTCTCCTACTCTGCTCCTGTTTCCTGGAATATCTTTCAAAAAAGATCTGAAGCTCTCGACCTTGACCTCTCTAAGGGACTTGAAACAACTGCTAAGACCATGGCATAAACCCATGCAGACATTTTCCTGTTTTTAGTATTTTACATCATTTTATAATGTAGCTGTTTTTGTTTAGTTTTTAAATCATTTTTTCCATTTACTTTTCATTTTATATGCTTTTTTATGAATGTCTACTGTTGTCATCTGTGTTCCTTGTCTCTCGTGTAAATGAGTCCTCAAGGCTCAATGAAACTAACCTGTATAAATAAAGGGAATTGAATTGAACAGTACAAAAGCATCCCAAACATCTCAAAGTGTGTGTGTGTGTGTGTGGTGGTGGTGGTGGGGGGGGGGTTGTTACACATTAAGGAATCAGCTGAGAGACCCTGTGACTGTGAAGCTTCCCATGGGCACACAATAGCCTTTCTCTGAGAAACAATCCCACACGGGGCTATTTTCGGTACTCTTCAGCCATTTAACATGTCAACATCCTCTGCTGTGTCAACATGACAATGACGATAGAGGAATTTATTAGAAATGCAACTAGGGAGGGGGAAAGGGGGCTAGCGTAAGCTTCTGGGAAGGAATGGGTCACAGGTAGACTTCTCGAGTAGGGAACTTTTGAATATAGCTGCTGCCACACCAGAGCCACAGTGGCACCACACAGAACAGTGATAAGTATCTTGGTTAAAAATAAAGATTGTAAAAGTATTATGTAGACTATTATGCAATTGAGTCATTGTTCTTATCTATGGCACATCATATAATACAGAACACAATTCTAATGGATCACTGGAGTCAAAGAAGGTCAAGAAAGTCTTATCAAGGCAGACCAAAGCAGTAGGTGCACTCATTTTATCGTTGTCTTTGAGTGGTGAGAAAAAAGGCTCGGAGTACGGAAACACGTACGGAGTACGGGGAACACCAGAGGTCATGGTAGTAACAAAAGAAGATTTTGTTATCTGAGTTTATTAAACCATGCACACAGAGTCAAAATCTATTCCCACAGTTTAGTTCATACGTGCAGATGTACTGACAGACATCGTTCTGTCTGAGAACAAACAATGGATTATTGTTTGGGATAAATAACATTAAAAAGTTGGCCTGATTCTTACTTCCATGATCCACGATCAATAACTTCTAATCAAGCCATCAAACATTATCTTCACTCAACTGCAGAAAAGAAGACTAATTTAAATCAAAACCATTCAGACTCAGAACTCAACAAATATTTAGGAGCAGTCAATAAACCAGACAAAGAGAAAAATTACTCATAAAAACTGATGTTAAAAAGAATCATCATAAAAACTGATGATTTTTCAATTTAACTGTTGGAATACCATTGAATGATGTTGTTACTATCTCATTTATACATGCTTGGTGTGGTTTAGTTCAAATCAATGACATTTATTCATGTTGCACAATACTAGTCTGATTTTGTCAGTAAATAAAACACCATTTGTTCACAACAAAACGAAACACGACACCTGCTGCACACGGACACCAAGCTGAACTTATCACAGACTAAACCAGAGTTCTGTTACTTATGTTAAAGAGGGAAAACATTTTGTCTTAACTGCCAAGTGTAATTTTTCAGGTTTACGTAAAAGAAAAAAACATATTTATTAGAGTATCCATCCATCTATCCATCCGTCCATCCATCCATCCATCCATCCATC